TGTTCAGATCGATGCAGCACGGCTTGAGTGGTACACGCTTCCGAAATGTTGAAGAAGTGCGAGAATGGGTGGACGAATGGATTGCTTCGAAACAAACATCGTTTTATCGAGATGGTATCGCCCAGTTGCCAGAAAAATGGCAAAAAGTTGTAGAAAGTGATGGAAAATACTTTTATCGAAATAATTTAAATAAATTTTTTACAATAAATGCTTTTTCTCAGTATTTTTTGGGCGGAAACTAAGTTAAGGTCCTAATATTATTAAATATCCCGAATAAGATAAATTTTTTACAAATATATATTTTTTATTGCAATAACTCATAATGTTAGCATAAAAGAGGATGGTGGCAAAACTGTTTTATAAAATACATTTATTATTAAGCTATTTATTATTTGTACACAATCCCGGGTAGGATTTTATCGGAACATGCCCCAAGTCCATAAAGGGCTTAGATAGGCATGCCCTAAAATATGCTTGGCATCGTTGGGCCTAGAAAGAATGTACAAAGGCAAATTCTGAGTAGAATTTCCTTAACAGATTCTGAATAGGTACTATTGGGAATGTTCCTAACTAGGCCTACCACTGTTGTGTCTAAAAAGGACTTACAAAGGTAAATTCTGAGTAGAATTTCCTAAACAGATCCTAAATAAACACTGTTGGGGATGCCCTTAATAAGTCCTGCCATTATTAGGCCTACATATAGCTAAGTAAAAGGATTTCTAAAGGAAAATTCGTAAATAGGCCCAAAATAGACACAGATGTGGATGTCCGTAGACATCAAAACAACAAGACATGTACTTATATATTTCAGTCACGGTTCAGTCTCGTTTATTCAATTCTTGAAATAGTTTAAAGTCTTACAGAATTTTAGTTTACAGTCTTAGACTGAAGTAAAATTCATATAAGTTTGAAGTAAAATCAAAATACCTATGATTTTGGTTCTCAAAAATACAGTCTTCCAAATAAGGCGGGTCTACATAGGGTTCCACACAACAAGCTTTCTGAAAGATAACTTGGAAATTATATTGAAATATAACATTGAAATAATTTAGAAATATTTGTGAAATATTTTATCAAAATATTTTTCACTAACATATTATTTTAGAAATCGCTTATAATAAGCGTTGATTTTGATATATAATTTAATTTATATTTACATATAAATTAAATTAATTTAATGAAATTTTATATGGTAAGGTGGATTTTCCTTCTTTTAATTGTACTCTTTTATAATTACTCAAAGTTTATAGTTTTTCACTTTATTTATTTAATAACAATCAACAATAAAAAAAAATTATTTTAAAAATTTAAAAGTAACGAAATAGAAGTGCGAGATTTTGCAGACCTCATTAGCTAAGGGTTAAATTAACAATAAAAGTACAAAAAAATAATTTTTCATAAAATTATACCATTTTATTAAGTTATATTATCAAAAAATATAATTTTTATTAAAATTATATCATTTTATTAAGTTATATTATCAAAAAATTATATTATTGTGTTAATCACAATATATATGGATAAAATGTAAGACGCTTATATCGATTGAAGAAATGGCGTAGTGTCCAAGGCAACAGATTCATAATCCAGAGGTGTCTCAGGCAGGGTCCAGGTTTGAGTCCCACCAGTGTCAGTGAGAATTTTTAAATGTAATGTAGCATTGGAATCTAAACTTTTCAAATAAAATCAGCAAGCGCTGTGACCTTTACGAATAGTTTTTATTAGAAAATTCATATATACATACATAAAAGAATATTTTTTTCTACTTAGGCGTGTCCAGATAGGGTCTATATAGGCGTGCTAGAATAGGGCCTCGTCAGATTTATAAATTGGGCCCTGACTTACAAAAGCGTTACATCTCTGTACAGAGCCTATTTGGGCTTGCCTGAATGGCGCCTAGACAGAAATAGGGAAAAACTATCTAGGGCCTTTATAAGCCCTCTTTTAAATTCCTACCCGGGATGTTACTTGTGTCAATCTTAATACGCAAATATCTTAATATGGTCTTTGTATATAAAAAAAAGTCATAATAACTGTTAAGAAAATTAATTTTTATTAATACACTTGATAGCACACATTTTTCCAATTTTGGTTATTTTTTATTCATGCCGGTGTAATAGCGCACTAACATACAAAGTTAATTATTCGTATTTAGTCTGTTCTACTTTGTGAGTAAGAGAAACTTTCGATTCATTCCATATTGTCTCTCTCTTTCTCTTTTTCTCTCTCTCTGTCTTTGTTTACCATTTCTTCCCCATTATTCTCGAAGATGCTTCGGCAGAGGCGCTAGCGGAAGCGCTGGCGGAAGCTCTTTCCATTTTATGTACATGCATGCCTTTCTTCGAAATTATTTTATTTTTCTCATTTCCCTTCTGTCCAGCGCGAGCAAGCGCATTAACCTGAGCAATCTCTTGAGCTGATGCACCACCGTCGTTTCCCAATCCAACAATTATCCCGTCTCTGAAGGCGTTGATAGCGGATGCTTGAGCAGCAGCCTTAGCCTCATTAGTAACAGCATCGTAGTCAGATCTAGCAGAAGTCGCCTGTTCGTCGGCGTTAGCTTTTTCCAGCATAGCAGCAGCTAACTGCTGGTTGCGCAAAGCAGAACTCTGCACAGCTTGTGCTTCTTCAGCGCTCATCGTCGCCTTGCCAGCTGCTTTAGCGTTTGCTTGTGAGACTGCGTTAGCTTTAGCATGAAGAGCAGCCGCAGTGGCAGTTAAGGCGGCGGCTTTCGTTGCAGCCTTAGTATTCTTTGCCGAAGATTCTTCGATGCCTAGCAATGCCGCTAACACAGCAACTGAATTCCGATAGGAATTTTCCGCTTGTACGTTTGCATATGTCTGTGCAGAATTGGATGATTTTGCATTATTCACAGCGCGATCAATCGCATCTCTTGTAGCTGCGGCCGCCGCCTCAGCTCTACTGGATGCTTCGAGTCCAGTGTAAATAGCTTTCGAAGCTGCTCTGCCCTTAGCCTCCGCGATTTTCTGGGTTTCCTCTGCCATCTTAGCGACGGCCAGCGCGTTGTTAGATGCCTCTGCTGCAAGCTTGATAGCATTCAGATAGTTTGATTCACGATGAGCAACTATCTCTTTGTTGATTGCTAATGCTTCCGCAGTTACGGCAGCATTAGTTTTGGCATTCTCCAACCCAATGCTGACCTCTTTCCAACCCAAGCCGACTTTAGGTGCTCCGTTTATCTTATCGACTGCACCCAGCATTACATGTTTGATGTCAAAAACCGATTTGTCGATTGCTATGTCCTTATGGTGTTCACTACGCTTCTTTAGTAGAGGCACCGATATCCACATATCTTTAATGCCTGCATTGGCACTAGCAGAGGCGGTTGCGGACGCGGAAGTCTGCGACTTTGATCCAATGAAGTCCCCATTGGCCAGTCCCCAAGCAAAGAGAGACGTTACCAGTATTGCTGGAATCTTCATTTTCGACGGAACTTTGTAAATTGGTGCCAAACCATTGGAACCTGCGTATTATATACTGCGCTACACAATTGTATAAACATTCTGTATCACAGTCACATATGTCGAAAATATTGTTTCTGAAATCTCTGAAAGTCTTTATCTTGTTTTCTGTAGAGTTTGCCAAGCTGCTTCTATTTTGTTTGCAAAAGTGTTTTCATTTGTGATCATTCTTGTGAAAAAAAGTAGAAAATAGAAAAGCTATTTATTTTTAAATAATTATTAATGTTTTTAAATAATTTTTTAACAATTATCCCTTTTGTGTGTGTGTGTGTGTGTGTGTGTGTGTGTGTGTGTGTGTGTGTGTGTGTGTGTGTGTGTGTGTTTTATTTTGTGATATATCACAAAATAATTTTTCGAAAACTACATATCACATAAAAATATCTACATTGCAATATGCTACAATTTGTTTTTTTTTCATATCATTTATTTTATATAATTTTCCTTTCATTAATATATGGTTTTAAAAAAGTTGGTTTTTTTTTTAATTCCCTGGTAAAAAAATAAAAGAAAAATGGTTTTTCCCCAAAAAATGAGTTTTTTGAGAAAAATTATTATTTTTACTACTTAAAAAAAAGAAATTTTAATTAAATTATTTTGAAAGAAAATGTATTATTTTATTTGAAGAATAAACTATGTGTGGTTTTATTTATTTATGTGTGATTTATTTCTTGTTTTTCTTGTATTTAACATTATTATAAATAAAAAGAAAAAACTTTAAAGTCAGAGATTGTAAATTAAAAATATGAATGAGAGTGTAAGAGTCTCATGTTTTAGTACCTTTACGATATATAACTTTACGGTGTAAAACATTCACTGAAATAATGTAGTGATTACCCCTCCCCCTCCTCATATAATCGATATAAAATTGTAATATAATAATCCCAAAATACACACAATACATATACAATTTACTATCAGATTCTGTTTATAAGCTCTATCGACAGAACAATAACAAATTGCGGATACAGATGACTACGGATTTTTCGATAAGTCATGTTCGTCAGACTGCTAACAGATTGCTAACTGGATTTATTTATCTTCAATTAAATGTGAATTTTCATGAAAATGTTACTAGTATATCACTAACCTTATAATATTATCGGAAGGTTAGTGGAATCTTATATCAAAATAAGATCATTGCGTATAAGATTGCTGATTCCATTAACTTTCCATCAATATTGTAATGTAAAATTATAGTGTAAAGTAGTGCACCCAAAAAATATAATTTTAATAGAATTGGAATTCTCTAAATCTTAGAGGATTTTACTCTTATATATGGCCTCAAGAGGATTACTTTGAAATCAAGAGAAAACTAATCTTAAACACAATTCATAAAGATAGAGAAATTTCATATTGGATGTACAGTGCAAATCTATTTGTTCTTAATCTAAATTTCCTTTTATATATTAATTTAACTAAAAAATATTTCTTCGGATTTAATCAATTTTATCGCATCCACACGAAAGAAATATCAGAAAACTTTGACCGGGGTGCTTGTGTGTATCTGTAGATGTCCACTTTTACATACAATATGAGATGAAAAACATCAAACTCGGCTGGGATCGAATCCAGGTCTTCCGCTTGTCAGGCAACCGCTATTACTACTGAGCTATTTAAGATTCCATGTTTGTGACATCTATACCCAGTGAAAAATGATTCGTTGATTAATGTCAAGATAATATCAAACTGACATCGGTTAGACGATTTCAACGTCGATTTGATTGAAACATCGATAGTGGATTGACGGTGGAAGCTAAGCTCTAAGCGTGGCGCTTGGTTTCAACCAATTGTACACGATAGTATGTAGCGAAACCACAGTTTTTCGCGTCTCTCGTACTGCACGTAAGACGGCATTGTGCTTCAAATTAACATATTCCTCTTGATATAGAGGAACAATTAGATAAAAATCTCATTAATGTACAAGTAGTTCCCTTTAATGAAAGAGGAATATACTTTCTGTAAGAATATATAAAGATATTTCTTTTAGAACATAAAGTTAGAGGAAAATTCACTTTGTAGGTAGAATACTTTTTTTGGGTGTGATATAAATCATTAAAATTCCCATTAAAATATGTAATTGTAACCTCTTTATTTTACATTTATTTTTTATTAAAAACATCTGTTTTACATTTTTATAAGAGCTTACGATTGACGTTTTTGAATTAATAATAATTAATAAAGTTATAAACATGTGCTAGACTCCTGCAAAATCGAGGACGGTGATATTTCAAAATCTACACGACAAAATACTTTACTATTTTATACAAATTATCTCTGCAATAAAATGCAGGAAACTTCGAACAACATTTTTCTACTCTCATTTTTTTAATTTGGTATTATAAAAGCGTGATTTGATATTCACGTTTTTCAGGAAAAGAATTTATTGTTCTTTTCTTCATATTACAACTTTTGCAATTATTAAACTAATAAAATTTCTGATCGATGTTCTTCTGTCCTATATTTTTGAATAAACTTTTAGATTTTATTTCAGACATCTCGGTGATGGTAGAACAATCACTGTAAACATTTATTTTCCGTGCAACGGTTCAGTAAATATTTTATCCCTCAACATATGTTTTGGAAAGTTAAAAAAATATATAAAATATCAGATAAAGTTTTTTTGTTCTCTGATTTATATACCTAACATACAATCCTGCTTCTAATATCGACAATTTTTTTAGGCGTCCAAGGTGTCGTGAATTTTAAACAAAATAAAGAGCGATGATGAATGTGCATACATAACAACAATAACATATACATATATGTATAGCGCCATTTGTTCACAGTAGTACACCAAAGTATATTTATATTTTCTAAAACATAAATATGTATAAAATCAATTGTTGCAAAAAGCGATTCTTTAAGGGGACATTCTACTTTCTCGGCAGAAAATTTTGTCCATTTACAGGGATTTCTTTTTTTTATAATGAAATGAAGACATCAATTTGAAACTTTTTTACTATATTTTACTTCATTATTATAGTCTTAGATTACATAAAAAATTTTTTCAAGTTTTTATAAGGATATTTACATATCTTTTTCAAGTTCTTTTATAAGGATATTTACAGTTTGCGACAGCGTCTCTCTAAAAACTGATGGTTCGTTGGAGAACGTGATTGTTACTGACGGAATTAACTAAAACAAAAAAGAACTAATAAGTTTTTAATTTTTATGTGGATTTGTCGTATAAAGCTTGGAGATATCGTGTAAAAATTTTTTAAATAGCGGACTTTGAAAGTAAGATCCTGAAAATAATACTTTTTTATGCAATTGTTATGTAAATGTAGGAAAATATTAATCACCCAGATAGAAATGCGTGATGATCATGTTTCATCACAATGTGACTTCACACTATGACTCCAATTTGATACTTTTTTAAAGATCATTAAGTAATCTCATAATATGAGCACCAGATGCACATAAATGATGTACAAATTATGTTGCAAATTCTTGACATGATGTTGATTATTATTATAAAATGAGGTATTTTTGTGACATCATAACATGTCTACATTCTGAGGCGCATATGAGCCCGCATCGGTGCCTATTCTTGTCCTCATGCTTGAAGATACATGAATACAATATGAGCTCAGAATAAACACATTTTTCTATCTAGGCAATTAACAAGCCCGAGATTCATCCCTTACAAAAAAATATTATTAGTGGTAATAGTGTCACTAATAGTTTCACTAGCAGTGTTAGCAGTGTCACTATTAGTGCTAATAGTGACACTACTAGTATTAGCAGTGATACTATTAGTGACACCAGTAATTTTAGAAGTGACACTACCCAGATAGAAATGCGTGATGATTACGTTTCATCATAATGTGATGTCATCCTGTGATTTCACCTTGATACCTTTTTAAAGATCATTATGTGATTAACATGATATAAGCACAAGATGTACACAAATGATATACGAATATGTCTAGTTCATCAAGTTTTGTTATCATAATGTTATTAAATGAGATATTTTTCTGATCATCATTACATGAACGATATATGAGCAGCATATGCGTACGCATTTGTATGCATTTTTATAATCATCCACGTCAATATATGAGCGCGTGCTGAGCGCAACATGACATCATTTTTCTATCTGGGTACAAATGACAATAGTAGTCCCACATAGCACAAAAGTCAACGTTATTATTGTTAGAATGTTGCCAGAATATTTGCAGTAAGTTATATTTTATTGAATGTCAATGTAATGTTATATTAATGTCCGATATTATAGAGTAGAAATGTTAATATTACTAAAATATTGGGGTAACGTAACAAAATAATTACATTTTTGTAATAGCAATATCATATTGCAGTAATGTACCAAATGTATATATGAAAATTTAACGTGGAAGCAACATGTTGTACTATATTGATGTAACATTGCCTGCTAAGATTGTATTGATTTTGAATGCATATATAAATATAATATTTTCATAATGAAATTTATATCATGCGCATATTACTCAAGGATAAAAGACACATACGAAGATCGAAGTATGCACAAATACTTCATACAAATATATATCATAAAATAAATATATATATATATATATATATATATATATATATATATATATATATGACATTTGTTCATACTGACGAAATATTTATCCACATAGCACGTAATATTATATTATATCACAGTAATATTTCCGTAATATTGTAATATCGCAAAAATATTACGGAAATATTACTGTGATATTATA